AAACTGTGAACAAGAGGTTGTTGTATGAGTACCAATGGCAGCTTTCAAAYTTCTGTGAATCACTGGGCTCAAGGAGTGTCTGCACCTGTGTTAAAAAAGGAAAAAAAAAGCAAAGAGAAGAGTAACCACATRCARTTTTGTTTAGAAGCTATTGTTAATKTCTAAGTATCTCAGAAGTGAGGCCTAAATTTCATGGGTTAATCYTATTTCATTTTAATGGATCTATTAGTACAAGGAACAGCTGAGCAATCAGACCTTTACAAAGCTCCATATATACAGACATTGATCCATTAATGTTCATTTCTTAGCAGTTGCAACAAAKACGTGTAAGCAATCAAAACTGTTAAAAATGCTGTTGCTTTGTTTCTTACAGATTAGGTGACCTGAAAGCTTAAATACAAGAAAGGAGGTGAAAATCATTCTATAGATGGCTCATGTTTTAAACAAAAACCTGTGAGAAATGTTTACTTTCCTTAGAGAAGAGGAGAAAATATATTGAATATACTCATAAGATTAAATCCCTGTTTTATTTGAACGAGCCTGCTAGATGATGATGATGATTATTCTAAATCTTTGTTCATGAGCAAACAATTCAGTATCTACAACACTTGTTTTGCATGCACACTGTTTATGTATAGCAGGCTTTTGTAAATCATGGAGGGAAAGCTGCTCAGTGAGAGGAATAAATGGAACTATAAACAATTTATCAAATAGCTGGTACTTGTTTCAACTTACTTSAGGCAGGAGGACACATTTTCTACTTGTTTCCAAGGCAGAATAAAATTGTATGACTTTAGCAGCATTGATCCTTGTAGAATAGCTTTAAATCTTCCCATAATTTAGCTGGACAGTCTGCACACCTAGACAGTCTATMTGACTTGTCTCTCTTGGTAGAAAGTAGAGGTGGGAGTTGCTGCATTTGCGAAACTAAAAGTGGGATTGCAGCTAACCAAGTTGCCAGGCTTCAGCCATTGCCCCCTTTCAAACCATTTTCTACAATACACTAGCCTTTCTCATAAGAACTGCCCAGAACTTTTCCAGTAGGAAAATTTCTGTTGAAAGATTATTTTGATTAAATAAGAGTAGGAAAAATATATTTTTAAGAAATACTGGAATATAGCTTCCATTTTATGCTAATAGTTTTATCTGAAGTAAAAGCTGTTATGCATTGTATAAAATGTTTAAAAAGAAAACAGAGCAAAACACTTTAGATGCCATCAAAACAGAATATTTCAATCAACATCCAAGTGATTTTTAAATTGTGTAACATGGGAGTATGAAAACTGTTCACTTGTCCTTCATTTCACAAAGAAAAATATTCAACATCAGGCAATTTCCYTTGGAAAGCAAACACTGCTTACAAGCCAGCTCGAGCCCTGCTCTGCTTTTGCCCTGGTTCCCTGCTTGATGGCAGCTCCTACCTCTGCAAAAAATGCAGTCCTGTGCAGTCCTGTGTAGTGCTTCAAGGATAGTTACCAGGTGATAAACATACTGTTTGCTAAGAAATTTGTGAGGGTGGTAGGGCTGGGGATATGGGCTGTTTCTGAGGGGAGAAATATTAAATCTGTGGGCCACAGCAGGATCAAGATATATCAGAGTCAGGGACAAAAGGCAGTGGGATGACTCCGGCCTCTCTGGTGGGACAAAGACAGCCGTGCTATGTGGTGCTAATTCCTGAAGGGGAAAGCCTTTGTTTCGCCCATGAAAGGGATCAGGGAAGATCGAAGCCACTGCAGTCCCAGCGCTGTCTTTCCCTAGCCTTTCCTTAAGCTTCTTGATAACACAGGTGTCTTCACAAGAGTCTCCTTCAGAGACTTCTGCCAGTTCCCACCTACTCTTGCAGGGGCTGGAGAGGCAGCATTTGCAGCCATGGCTGGGCATCAGGACCCAGTGACCTGCTTTCCAGTCTCAGCAAAACGCAGACCATCGCGGGAGGGAGAACAGCTCTGTGTGACAGCTGTGCATGAGTCTCAGCATAAAGACCTGCTGTCTTTGTGAGTGCCAGGTAAGAGGGGATGAAGGCTMCAGGGTGCTCTATGTTGGAAAGGACCAATTGGAGCATTTGCAAATGCTTCCCCTGCCAAAGCCTGAGAAGCAAACCAAAACTTAGCCATTGGAGTAATTTGCAGGGATGTATCAGGTTTGTTGTGTCAAGGGCAGAAACTCAAGTTTAATCATTAAAACAYAGGTGAAGGGGAATTTACTCCCCTTTTTTATGTGCATCTGAATGTCTCTCCAGATCTGGTCCTGGCAGAACTGCCCTAGGCTGGCCCTGCGAAAGCTTTGTGCCCACAGGCCGAGGACAGGCAGCCCCTCTGACCCTGGTTCTCTCCTTGGGAAACATTATCTRCAGGGAAAGGGGCACCAGCAACCCCCCGGGCTGGGTCCTCCTTAATAAACATAGCTCATGGATAGCACAGCGCAGACAAATAACCAGCTGTGTGACAGTAAAAAAAGCACGGATATTGACACCAGAAGAAGACATCCCTGAGGCAGCACTCACTGCAAACCCGTCTCCGAATGAGCAATAGTTAAATGTTTGTCCTTGCCTCTTTCTTTCAAAAGTAGGGCAAATATCTATAGAGGTCCCAGCGGGGAGGTAATCTAACTTTAACTTTCATACAGTCAAGTAAAACACCCGAGACCTGTGTTAGGGATGCAAGCAGGTCGTCTGAATTATGATTATTCAATCTGGTATTATTTTAATCTGGCATGCCTCTCACGTGCTTCATTTAGGTTCATCTTGACCTGAAAACTGCAATCTCAATGCCTTTATCCTTACAGGTGATTTATCTTGTTGCAGTGTATTTTTTTTTCTTTTCGCCCCAAATATAAATATTTATTTTAATTGCGAAGCCCTGCCTGTGAGGCAGACCGGCACATTTCATTGTCTCGGGTCTCCCGAGTGTGGTCTGGGTCCCCTTCGAGYAGAAGCCTCTTGCTTTAACTCTCGCTCTTGGTAATTGAAGAAGGAAGATAATGAATTTAGAGCCACGGAAGGTGAAAGCCAACACCTCCCCTGCAGCCGCAGCGTGCTCTGGGTGATGTTTCCTTACTCGTTTACAAGACAATAGCCGAAGAAATTAAGGAGGGGGTGAAAATGACTGATCCTTTTCTATGAGATAATGGATGAGCCCGGGATGACCTGTTTTTTTCCTTGCGGTGGAGCGGTGCTGAAGACAGAGGGCACCCGCGCCCAGCCCACAGCCGTCGCCCCGCAGCCAGCGCGCCAGCTCGGGGCGGCCGGAGAGCCGCCAATGCCCGCTCCCGGCAGGCAGGGAGCCGCTGTCTCACCCGGCCAGGTACGTCTCAGGGGTGACCCTCGGAGCGGACAGCGGGGCTCAGCCGTGGGACTGCCGGCGGGGCAGCAGGGCAGGCAGATGGCACTGGGRAGACGGGCTGCGGTCTGCCCGCGGGAGCCTGCTTCGGGCTCTACCCGCCTGCGGGTGYGGACACGCAGCCAGGACGGCGGCTCCCCTCGGAGCATCGCCTTCCTCGGGTCTGTCTGCAGCCCCCCGCGCCGCTCGGTGGATACCCAGCCTCGCCGGCCCCGGCACCCCTGCCCGCCGCCGGGCAGGGACGGGAGCGGGGGGCAGCTGGGGCGGTGCGTGCCGCGGCGGTCTCCGAGCCCCGGGAGACGTGTGTGTATATGCGAGTGTGTGTGCGAGCAGTGTGTGTGTGTGTGAGACAGACACCGTGCGTGTGCAAGCGGCTGCACGGCGGCAGCAGCGCCTGGCGGGGGGCAGAAGTTTTGGGGAAGCGCCCCGCAGTGCTGGCGGGCGGCCGAGCCGGTGGTGGCGGGGCCGGGACAGCGGGACACTAGAGCACCGAGGCAGCGGGGTGCCGGGACAGTGACACAGGAGGCCGCGGGCAGGGGACAACGGGACAGGGAGACAGCGGACGTGGGGGCAGCGCGGCTGGGGCCCGCGGTCCGGCAGCTGCCCCGGCTGCCGGGCGCTGTCTCTGGTGCTGACTGCTCGTCGTGCAACAGGGACCCGGGCCGGCCGCGCTCCCGGCGCGGCATTCGAAGCCGCCAAGCCCTCCCAGCACGGCGTTTCAAGCCGCCAAGCCCTGTCGCGGGGCTCGCCGCCGCTCCCMGCCCGAAGCCTGTTTGCGCGGCGGGCGTGCCGGTAAGGCACATCAGGGCTTTGCCCGCGGTTGCCTTAGTAACTAATATGTATTTTCCCCTGCTTTCATGTGTGTGTCCCTGACTGAATTACAGTTTTGCCCCTTGCATACGGAAAAGTTAATCTAAACTGTAGAGTCKTTCCTTTCTTCCTCCCTTCGCTGACCTTTAAATGACATTTCCCGTGGCTGGCAGGGCAGACTGCTCCCTTTCTCTTTTTACCCGCGTTATGGATGGACAAGGGAAATTTCTAAACTGAGAAAGATGYCTTCAGGTAGTCAGAACGCAAAGGGAGAAGGGCTTGTCACCCTGCTTTCAGGGTTAGGGACCCTGGGGCCAGACTAGGGCTCTTCTCCGACGAGCTGCCTGCCTCCTGAAACTTTTAAAACTTCCCGGGGGCAGAGGGGGTGCGTGTAGTGTCTGGAAGTGCGGGAAGTGGCCGCCTTGGCTTGAAAAGCAAAAAGGATTGTCGAAACTCAACATATGTGAGTATGCGTGACTGTGTATCAAGACAAATAAATACATGTTTTAATCCCTCTTGAAACGTCTTGTTGAGAGGCTTATCGAAGCAAATTGCCCTCGGCATTTGTGAAAGCAGTCATCTCGAGCTGCGCGGGGTTGCATTATCGAGCTCAGGTTTGACATCGATTTCCCAGTTAGCCCGTTTTATCACCTATTTCTGTGCCACCAGGTTAAAAGTCACTAGGATGACGGCTGTCTTGGCACCTTCAAGAGTGACGCTGTGAGGCTTCGCTGTGATGGTATTTGGAACAACTTGGCTGTCATCAGGGAGAAGCAGATGCCATTATCTTCATGTCCTTAAAYCATGTGCAGGCAAGAGGAGCCCATGAAATTCGTAACCTGGGTCTGGATGACATCGTGCAACAAAATGATTGGCGTGCTGCTGGTCTTTTTTCCTGCTCTGCTCCTGGAGATGGACTTGCTGCCCAGGAGTGGTGGTCGGAAGGTTCTCCTCTCTGCAGCCTCCTCKCAGCGGTCGGTGGCTCGGATGGACGGGGATGTCATCATCGGGGCCCTCTTCTCTGTCCATCACCAGCCGCCAGCTGAAAAAGTGCCCGAGAGGAAGTGCGGGGAGATCCGGGAGCAATACGGCATCCAGAGGGTCGAAGCCATGTTTCACACGTTGGATAAAATTAACGCAGACCCAGTCCTGCTACCCAACATCACCCTGGGCAGCGAGATCCGAGACTCCTGCTGGCACTCTTCCGTGGCCCTTGAGCAGAGCATCGAGTTCATACGGGACTCGCTCATCTCCATCAGGGACGACAGGGACGGAGGCACCCGCTGCATTTCCGACTCGCAGACCCAGCCCCAGGCCAGAGTGAAAAAGCCCATCGCGGGGGTCATCGGCCCCGGCTCCAGCTCAGTTGCTATCCAAGTCCAAAACCTGCTCCAGCTCTTCGACATTCCCCAGATCGCTTACTCCGCCACCAGCATCGACCTGAGCGACAAAACGCTGTACAAGTACTTCCTCAGGGTGGTCCCCTCCGACACGCTGCAAGCCAGGGCCATGCTTGACATCGTTAAGCGTTACAACTGGACCTACGTCTCCGCGGTCCACACGGAAGGTGGGTATGGGGCAGCCCCCGCCTCCCTCCGGCCCCGGGGCGCGGCGCCCTCCGCGGCGGCTCCGCAAGGACGCGCCTGTGCCGGGTCACCCGCCGGGACCTCGGGCTGGAGGTGCGGCTCCTGCCGGGGACAGCGCCGGCCGCTGCCACCCGCAAGGACCGTGGGGTGAACGGGRAGAAGCGGGGGGTGCGGGGGTGCCGTTCCGGCGGCGCGGAGAAGCCCCCACGGCTGCGGGAGGCGGGAGCGGGGCTCGGCGACGCAGGAACGCTCGCAAGAGATGCGGCGTCTCCCCGGCGGTCCCGGTCCCGGCTCTGTTCCCATTCGCACAGAGCGGTTCGCGTGTTTCTAAATAAAAGTTAACAGATGTGAGCAGCTGTATCTGGGACGGGCGGCCGCTCCCCTCCGGCTGGGCCGCGGCAGGTCCGTGGGGCTGCCACCGTCCGTCGCTGCCCCCGTGGGAAGTTAGGCAAAACGGAATCAGGGCTCGGCAGGGACTCCAGGATTAGCTGCTGGCTATGCTGCGTGTGAGCTGATTTCCTGGGTCTGCGAACAGAGAGGAAAGAAAGCTGAAAATCCCTCCCCTGTCCAGGCAGCCCCTGCAAARTCAGGTCCCGTGGGAAAGGGCAGGCAGTGGCTGACCTGCTGGCGAGCCTGGGCAAGCGTGCTTGCATGCAGCTTGAGCAATAGTCAAAAACTGTTGCTCTGCACGATGTGTTCATAGTCAACAGGTCTTCCTAATTTTAAATATCAAAACAAAATTACAATAGTAAGGCTATTTCAAGAAAGAGAAATTGGTTATAGCCAGGCTACGTGGTGCAATATAAATTGCAGAAGTAATGGCACTTGATAGAAAACAAACTCTTGTGATATATTATTGTGGTATTTCTGTAGCCCAGTTGTGGTTCTCAAAATGGAATTTTTAAGTATAAAATTGCAGATATGACCACGTTATTGCTATAGCTTTGCAACCATTCTGTTTATCTGAGTRCACCTCTTGTACGGACTTGATTTATGATTCCCTCTGGTTACTGAGCTGACTCCACACCTTTCTTTCTCATAGAGATGCCTAAGTAAAATGAGGTAAGAACATATATTGTGACAAATAAATAAAAAAATCTCCAGGAAGATGTCCATATTGACAACATTCAGAAGGGAATTGGATTGATCTAGACACCAAAATCAGAAAGTGCTGCAGTTTGAGGGGGTTGGGGGAGAAGTGAGAGCATGAAGCAATGACCTGACACTTATGCCCTGTTCAGATGAGAAAATTAGCTGCTAGCAAGACTGGAACATGAACTATTAAGATTCTCTATTGTTTACAGATATGATTAGAGTCTGTGGAAAGCCAGGATGACAAATAAACACGAAACGGGTAAATTCTTTGTTGATGTAAATAGCCATCTCTCCCTTCAAGGCACTCTGGGGAGCTCTGCTAACTCACTGTGCCTGAGGAGTTGCCTCAAGGGGTTGGCTGCCTCTGTGTCCCACTCACATTAACATTAGTGGGCCTTATCTCTTTGGAATAGACAACATCTTCTGAAGGTTCATTTAAAAAGAGATCATTATAAGTAGCAACTTCAGTCATTGCTTTTGAGAAATTTTAATTAGATATCTATTTTTATGAATGTTACTGGCTAATGGAAAATAATTGTTGCAAGATATTTTTAGACTTTGAAATGATACTTTTGAGAATAGGGGTATAGCCCACAAGGCAACACTCTCCTCTTGTGGAAGGTCCCAAGGATTTTGCGGATCATGCAGCTTGAGATTCAGATTTACTTTTTTATTATTAATCTGTGTCTGCCATTCCTTTATTATTAAATCCAAAACAAAAATGTCACTGAAAATATGTAACAAGCTTCAACTTTTGCATTTMTTTCTAGAAGACAATATATTGACCCCCACCCCACAATGGCTGTTGGGTAGATTCCAAAGATATTTTTTTTTTTCCTTCTATTTAATGTGAAATTAGTATTAATGAAAATCAGTGTAAATGGTCGCATTTCTGCTGTTTTGAATCCCATGCATTCACTGTATTGTTAAAGGTGAAATCATTCTTTGCAGATAACACAAAGCCCCTCTGAATTGTGTGAGCAGAGCTGCCCCATCCATTCTATGTTTGGAAACAGGGGGATAAAGTGCAGTCAGAAACATTCCTCCTCCAGTTACTCGTAGGWCTCTATGCTTTATGGTGGGTTGCAAAATGTGCTGGGAGGAATTCTCAGGTATCTCTGGTTGGAGAATCTCTTYGGCAGGGACTGTGAGGAAGGAGCACATTTCTAGGAAATGCAGAGGTTGGCACTGTGAAGAAGTTGACTACTTCCCTTTCCAGGTGCTCTGGATCCAGTTTATATCCAGAGCAGAAAAGCTGCTTAGGTCCTACCTGACCTCTGGTTCTCTTGGGGATGGACAATGCTCAGCTCTTGTAGGCGCCCAGCCACAAGAGGATGCAATGGGACCACTGAGCTGAGTGACCGCCTGTGTCAGTGTGCCACATTCCCCAGTCCTCACTGACCCGGGGCAGGGTCATGGAAACAGCCCAGAGAGATGAGTCCTTTCCCAGCCTGAGCCATCCAACTCCTCTGGTTACCCTCCCTCTASTCCTGTACCTAACTGAAATTGATTGATTGAATGCCCAAACCAATACTTGGGTACACAATTATGTCTTTAAAGACAATAAGAAATAAAAACCACACAATTCATTAAGTTTCTTAACACGAAGCCTACATATGCCATGAGAACATAAAGAAGTCATCCATTTAGGATGATGTCTTTAAGCAGTTTGCATTTGATGTAGAAGTTTATTCTTCATGTACAAATACAGGAATTTAACTACTCTCAGTCTCTACACTCCAGCACGTGAGATGTGCCAGACCTTTTGGGGTTTTTTTTACACAGTGGTTTGTTAAAAAGTATAAACATTGCACTTGGGTAAAAACTTCTCAGTTAGTGAATAAAATCTGTTTTCAGAGGTCCACATAGCACATTGCCCCTTTTAGATTAAAATTYGCACATAAAACTCTACAATAAAAAAGAAAGAAAGGAGTTACTGTTATTTTGGTGATTTTRCTATGTATCTCAGTTGAACATAGTTGCATATCATGAGAGTAATTTTTTTCCAGAGCAGGGAACAGACATTAAATACTATAATAAATCTGTGCATCTGCCAGTGGAAGGCTGTGTGATTGTATAGTAGTTGCAAAGCATTTTCAAGGCTATTATTTTTTTAAGTTTTTTTCAAAGGTAATTTGATATTGGAGTTCTTGGTGTGTCTATATCTCAGCTCTTAGGCTTGAAAGTAATTCTTCTTGAAATACACATAAGTGGATGGTTTTCTCTGAGCCAAAGCTTCCTGTGGAAATCAAAGGCATCAAAAAGGAATCATGTTAAGTTGGAGACAACCCTGGGTGGGATAAGGGCAGAAGGAGCTATACTGGCTGAGAGTAACTTTCTAAGTGAGATATTCTGGTCTGTAGCAAGATAACCTCAGAATCAGAAATTATTCTCAAGTTAGACCAGGCAGCCACTGGTGATTTGGTAACACTGTAAAGAATTACAGGGGACACTTTCTTCCTTGCCTGGAGAGAAACCCCTGGATAGCCTCTGAAACAAGGCGAGAGAGAGCGAGCACCACTGCTGTGCTGCTTTCATGCTGAAGGCACAGAAATTAATGGGGCTGCCAGCAGAAAATGCACAATGGTTRTGAGATTCCTGTAGGTTACACTGACTTCCAAGATCCACAAGACACCTGCACCCTTGGTAGTGATCAGCATGAAGTCTCCACCAAATCCCTCACTTAGCTGCTCTTCTTACGCATGGAGCAGGTAAATGATGGTGTAAGTAGTCCTTTTATCATCTCATCTTCTATGTATTCCACTTCTGAATAAGCAAATAAAAGTACTTAGCGCTTGTGCTTGGCTTTTCATTTAAATCATTGCCTACCTCTGGGGAGACTTTTGATTCTGTGGCAGATTTTTGATTCTGTGACAATATAAATATGCACTATAGATCCATTTAAAAGCTGTTGCAATTTATGGACCTTTTCACTTTAGTGTACAGATAACCCTTCATAAACAAAATTTATGGACCATGCTTATGCTTTAGTGTACAGATAACCTTTTRTAAACAAAAGTTCCATTCCAACAGAATAACATGCAGATTTTGCAGAAGCAACTTTGGAAATGGAATGATTAAGTTAATTGCAGAAAATTTGGAATGTTTAGAAATTAATTTTAGAGAACAGTGAGATGTTTCTGGTCTTGATTAAATTTTGTCAGATTTGTATTGCCAGGCTGTTCCTTTTTCTTGAGTATAAGGCTTAAAATGAACTATGATGAAGCAGATGGCACAACTGCAGAGACTTTCAGATCAAAGTAGATGGTAAGTATATTATCTTCACAATGATTTTTGGTAACCCGACTGCTGCACATGGTCCAAAGTACAGAAACCTTATAAAAATGGTAATATGTGTTGGAAAGAGGATGGAAAGGAACAAGTCCTCCACTTTATTTCAAATTTCACAAAAAATAAGTTCATTCAGTGTAACCCACTGAAGTGGCTCTACATATGCTAGAAGATAATACTTCTGCTTAAAGGTAAATGGGGCTATATTGATCAAATAGCTCAAAGGAATGATTTCCATACAATTGCRTTTAATTTCTCAGAAATTGTTTCTAATTATGTACTACTGTTAATTCTGTGGTGTCAGTCAATGATTAATACTTTTTGATAAAATTATTGTCAGGCAACAGAGATAAGGAATTCCAGTTCAAATGTTTGAAATTTTAGAGTGTGCAAATGTTTCTTTAGATACCAACAATTACAGAAATGCTCTTAAAGGTTAAGCTCTTGTAGTGGTATGAATTGTGGTGGGATKTGTGTTCATAAATGCATATTTCAATTTATTTTTTTCTGTGTTTAATTAGCCTTACTAACCATCTTCAGAAGCTTTGTGACAGGAAAAAAAGGAGAGGCATATGTCCCAAGAAGAACAGAAATT